TCTGGTGAGATCGACCAACGAATCTCTTCTTCATGCACTTTCATACGAAATGAAGATCCCTCTAACAATGAGTGTAAGCGCTTCAATAGTTTTCTTAACTTTACTTTGTTACAACATCAAAACTAACCCAAAGATCCTCCTCTTTAATACTCTGTTGATCTACTAATCTTGCAAATTCATATAAATTCTTCACTGAATATTTCCAATACTTAGCCAATTACTTTAATTGTCATCATAATAATCGTTACTTTATTATCAACAATCAATCTTGTGCACTTTTGGAAGGCCGTAAGCGGAAGGTGCCGTATCATCTATCTGAAGAAGTGAATTCATTTTCCACTTCTCAATTTCTCCTCTGATTGCACAAACGTTAAGCGATTCCCTAAGTCTGGCCTTAAGATTTTCTGTGGGATCCTTCGCTAAAAGTCTGTAAGTTTCTGGGTCATTTAAATGAAGCATCATTTTTTGTATATAACTCAACCTATCCATGATGACCACTGGACCACATTTATCTGCCTTTAAGACAAACACACCATTTTGGTGCAAATATCTACAAACTCTATTCAAGTCATGCACTATTCTTAGCTTATTCTGACAGCTTGTCCGTTAAGTTAATTAACTCAACCAGTATCTTCATAGAATGATTTTGCTCATTTCCAAATGGAAGCTTTCAACCGCTTTCCAAGAAGAGCGTAACATTTGCATCTGCTGTTGCATCAGCAGACCGACATGTCGCCTCACGAATCGATTGGTATCTTCTTCTTCAGACTCGTAACCGGCGAAACGGTCCCTCGGAGCCCTGCGTCCGGGCGTCGAACAATGAACCTCCACTCGACCCGGCCATCGTGCAAACCACGAACAGCACGACTCCTCCGGCTGCCCATTCCCCATCGTCCGCCTCCATTCGACTCCTCGGTCCGCGCGACTTGTCCGAGTCCACCGCCGTCGCGGAAACACCCGCCTGCCGCGCCTCCCTCCCGGCCTCGGAGAGGAGTCGGTTGAGCCGATCCGGCCACGGCTCGACCGGCTCAGGCGGGACTCGCGCTGACCGCCGCCTCTCGAGCGTCGAGCCCGACCGGACGAGGCTGCAGGACAACTTGCACCTTCCGGCGTCGGTGGGCATAGACACTGGCACTTTTGACCGGCAAAAAGGGAGCAAAAGCACCAACTTGCCGATTCTCGGTGAGCCAGTTTTGCATTTTTATCCCCATTCTTCTCCACTTTTTCGCCATTTCTGCGACCTTTCTCTCTCACCTTTCCCTGGTCTCTCTTTTCTCTCTCTTACCAAGTCGCCAGAAAGACTCCTTCAAAGAGCATGTCTGCGGAAGTGGCATCCGCCTGTTTGGCGGCACTGAAATGGTGAAAAGCTGAAGATCCTTTGAACCTTCTGAAATTGTGTCATTTGTTAGTTGGTTTTGACATCACCGATAGATCTTGTACAACGGCTGAATTCGCCATATTTCACTTAAATTCTCATGTTTGCTTGCTTTCCAAAAGTGATTCTCGACTGCACTTTCGACCTCGCCTCAACTGCCGGTGGGACTCGAACCCTAGTTGTGGTATTTCAACTTATGCTCCTGGCACGTCAACCACCGCACCACATTGCCTCACTCCGATTTGACTGCTGTCTGAGGTGCAGTCGATTTCAGCCTAGTCGAGGCTGCCTTTTCTGTGGTTGAAATGTGTGAAATGTAATGCAAACTTGAGGCCTTTTCATGTGATTGTGACAAAATGCAACTGTCATTGCGTCATCAGTTTACATTAAATAAATAATTATTCTTGAAAACCTACGCCGATTGCTATAGCCAATTCAACTGTGGCTCGTCAGCAATCACACGACAGAAATGTGATATGTGAAAGACCAAGGCTTGCTTGAAATTCACTTCTGCACACTGAAACTCGGGGCAGTGTGTTGAGATTAAATGCTGCATTATCAGAGCTCGAGTCCCGCCGGAGCTGCTGATTGGGCCGATGCAAGTGGGGTCGAAACTTCGGCTTAGGGCTTAGAGACTATTCGCCAATCGGATTTATGAGATGTGCTCCTCCTGTTCCGTTTAGGGTGATGAAGAACATGTGGTTGAAGTGTCCCACAATTGTATGAGTAGAGCTTGCATTTCCATTCAAGTTCACATAGCCTTGTCTCACTAAAGGTATGCGGAGAAAAGTGGCGTTTCAAGGAATCTCTTGTTTCATAATTGTTAAGCTTACTTCCATTTCGAGTGAAAGTGTTGCGTGAAGAGATTCAAAGCTCGATTCCACCAGAAGACGACGGCGGATTCGAGGAATCTCTTGTTTCATAATTGTTGAGCTTCTTTCCATTTCG